TGAGATGAAAGGAAGTGAAGAGGGAACTCATGGCACATGACCTTAATTTTCTTAGTGAAACATGGGATAAGGCCCTTAGCTGAGAGTGGGTGGAGGAGGCTTGAAGAGAGAAGTTTCAGAACAGTTGATGTGAATGAGTGGTATAGAGAATCCATTAGGAAGATTACATTAACTCAGAGGAGTAAAAGGATTGCCTTGCTAGAGTACAGGCTAATTAAGTGACTTGCCTGAGTCCCATGGGTAACTAGGAGTAGTAGAGTAGTGTATTTGAATTCTGGCATCTTGTGACTCCAGATCCAGATTCCCTCCCACTACACCACTCTGCCATGAACATGTGCACAAAAAGATCGTCAACAATACCAGATCAGGACATTGCAGGGGAGATACATGGGATCATAGATTTAGAGCTGGTGGGGAACTTTGAGCTCGTCTGGTTTGCGCTGTACATAAGAAGACTTGAGGCCTAGAGAAGTGACAGGTGGTAAGGAACGGAGGCAGGAATCTGGTCCTGTTCTTCTGAATGTAACACCCTTTTGGAGATAGCCCTGCAGGCAGAGCAAGTCTCCAAAGGGCATTAAGTGACTATTCATACCCTTAATCTTTCCATTGTACCACACTGCTTCATGCTTCAGACTAGATGGATTGGACTAGAGGACCCTTCCAGTTCCTTCCTATTTTAAGGATTCAATGATTTTAAGTTCTAAATCAGTGATACAGACAAGCACTTATTAAGTACCTACTATGAGGCAGTACTATGCTAAGCACTTTAAAATATTAACTCATTTCAACCTCGAAACAACCCTGTGAGGTAGGTGCTATGTTAACCTCATTTTACAGGTGAGGAAGCTGAGGCAGAGGTTAGGTGACTTGCCCAAGGTTACACAGGTAGTATGAGTCTGAGGCTGGATTTGAACTCAAGTCTCCCTGACTTCAAGCACAGTGCTCTCTCTGTTGTCACTTAACTGCCTGAATTCTCAAAGAATAAAAATTTTGGGAAGTCAGTGCAGTAATTAATAACAATAATAGCTCATAATATACATTAGTGGTTTTAGATTTACACAAGACTACTTATTATCTATGAGGTGTCTGATTAGAAAAGGAGATATATCAGTTACAAACAGATGAAGGGTACCATGGATGGTGATAGATAGCTATCCCCCTTCCCACACTGTCTATACCAGCCTGATTGCTACTCCTAGAACTTAGTGCTATATCTCTTGCCCCCATGTCTCTGCATGGTCTGTGTACCCCACTCTATGACTGCAATGCACTCCGTTTTTACCCCTGCCTCTGAGAATCCTTAGATTCCTTCAAGGTTCAGCTCAGGGGCCTCTTCCTATGGGTAGCCTCTCTTCTCAATAAGTATGAATATAATTATGTTTACAGGTCACATCGCATCTCTCAGAATGAAAGCTCTTTTGAAAGCAGAGAAACTTTGTGTCTCCAGGGTGAAGAGTGGTGCCTCACCCAAAGAGACAGGGATAGAGAGAGGATCCAAGGACCTCTGGGGAAAGGAAATTCCCTCTACCAAAGCAAGGTTGCATCTCTCCTGTGACTTAAAGTCTTAGAAAGTTGCCTGTGATCTGCACAAAATAAAGGCTCAATACATTTTTATTCAATTGAATTTAAGGAACAACCAGTTTCTAGTCCCTGGAAAGTATAATGGCCAAAGATGTCTTCTTCTTTTCTTTTCTCCCATAGCAGTTCTTAAAAAGTCACTAAGTTTAATTGAGTCAGTATACAAAGGACTCCATGTAAGGAAGAGTGGAATTCTTATCGTTTCTCTAATTTTCAACCGTGCGCCAACAAAACGGGTCTCCTCTAGCACATTCTAGTTAAATTTAAAAATTCACGATTCTACTCAGGTTCTGAGAGGAGGGCATTTGCAGTTGGTGTAGCTTATTGAAATAATGGATTCTTGAAGTGTTGAAATGAGAAAGTGAGTAGAACAAAACACAGATTGGCCTCCATCAACTAGGTATTTTGGATCAAAATGTAACTGCTTTTAACTGGTGTCCAGATAATGGGAAGTCAAATTATTTGGATGATTTGCTTATTCCAGATTTGGTTTTTAGTTTACTGGGTGGGATTATATGTTATCATTACTTGTGTGATCTTAGCAGGTCATTTAACTATTCTGAGCCTCAGTTTCCTCATAGTTAAATCAAGGGAGGGGGCCTAGAGTCCTCTGAGGTCTCTCCTAGCCCTGAGTCTCCCATCCTGTGATTGCATTGCCTCTGAGGTCTCATCCAGCTCTATGTCTCTGCTTCTGTTGACAACTTGGACCTTCCTGTCAAGAAGCTTATACTCTAAAAAGATACATGCTTATATATCTGGGGCTCTTTCCAAAACATTTAAAACAAGTGAATTGTTCTTTGTCTCCAAAGGCCTACTTAAGTTTCTTTAAAGTATATTGCATATTCCTTTCCCCTCTCCCCCTTTTATCTGTTGATGTTCTCTACCTTCTTTTTCAATGATAACCTCTCCTTGGATGAGATCTTTTAAGGTCCTTCACTCTGCTTGATAACAAGTCTATCCCCCCACTTTGTTCTCTCTCCTTTCCTCCCCTACCAAAACGCCATGTGATCTCAGTGCAACCTTGTTCATTTTCCAGCAGCTTCTTCCTGTCATTCCATGCCAAAAAGATACATTCTTATCTTTTCCTTAAAATAACCTCCAAGTCCCCCTAGGACCCTATAAAGGAGTTTTTGAATGGATGGAAAATTTGGGGCAGGTTGGCATAGTGGATAGACGGCTAGACATGAAGCTAGGAAGATCTGGGTTCAAGTCCTGCTTCTGACACATACTGATTATGTGACCCTGGGTGAGTCACTTAACCTCTCTGTGCCCCTAGAAGACTCTCTATGATTGCAGTGCTAGTGTTGATCTACATTGCCAGAGAGAGGTTTCCTACTGGATAGTTCTATATATTAATAAAATCTCAGATTTTCTCCATATGAAAACAAAAACAAACAAAACCAACCCTACAAAAAATTCACATGTAACTATTATATGCTTACCATGTAACATTATTTATTAGAGCTTTCTGTCTTAATATCCCCTTGATAATCTTATCCCCTTAGTAACTGTCAGCTCCTGAACTTAAGATGCCTGAAATAGAAATCCAACCTGTGTCTCTACCTACTCATTCTTCTACCAAAGGCACCATTTAGCTCGGTATTCTACACACATAGTAGGTACTTAATAAATGCTTATTGAATGAGTAATCAAACTCTGTTGGCTGTACTTAATCTTTCTGGTGAATACTCTTATTACCTGTGGAACCCAGGGTAAGTTACTTTAACCTCTGTTTGCCTCAGTTTCCTCATTTGTAAAATGAGGATAATAATAGTACCTTCCTCCTTTGTTGTGAGAATTAAATGAGATAATTATAAAGTGCTTAGCTCAGTGCTCACCATATATTAAGTGCTATAGAAATGTTAGTTATTATTATTATTACTACTACTACTATTTTCAAAGGATTGTGGACTTCCTGGTATCTTAATCCTCCCCTTGGGAAGTAACGTACAGCTCAGCTTTGAGAAAAGGCAAACGTAAATATAAACACCAAACACTGTACCTCATCTCCCCATAGTCCTCTGGACCTCAGCTTTTGTGACATTATCTGTAGTCTCTTGACTGACCTAGGGACAATGATTCTGGTTCTGATGAGCTTTGCTCCAATGGGAGAATATAATTTTTTATATTTTCAGCTCAACATCTGTCTGGCCTTATCGCTCTGGAACTTTGTGGGCCTTTGCTTGACACTCAGACTTTCAACCACCAGAGAGTCACTCATGATTTTATCAGCAAAACCAAACTGCCCGTGAACGTGCCCACTTGAAAATATTCACTAACTGTGCTGTCCCAAGGGAGGGCAGGCTTTTATACACAAAATGAAAGACTGTTAAGGAATGTTTGAAAGTGAAGGGAAGGAAAACTCCCGAAAGTAAAAACATTGATGCTGTGGTGACCTCTGGTGGAAATTGTGATGTTTTTAAAAAGGAAAAAAAAACCTTAACAAATACAATTTTAGTTTTCTATAGCTGAAACAATATCCCAGGTTGAAAAGTGAGTCTGCAGCATCAAAGATGGTCAAGTCTTCTTGTTGTTGTTTTTTTTTTTGGGGGGGGAGGAGGATGGGGAGTGGGAGAAGGGCAGTGAGGATGGTCTGTACCTATAATTTCACTGGCGTGATGTTTAATAGGAATGTATATGTAGAGTCTTTGCCAAATTGTACACAGTCTTGGGAATGGAGGCGGGAGGGAGACAGAGAAAATTTAAAACTCGAAAGCTTATGGAAGTAAATGTTGAAAACTGAAAATAAATTAATTAATTTCACTGGTGTGGAGAAATCTCATTGTGGACATTCCCTCTGCCAGCCAATCATTAAATATTTATTAAACATCTACTATAAGCCATATCAGAAATTCATCTACCACATAAGTCTTAGAGAGACTATATTGGGCACTGAGAAATAAAATGACTTGTACATACTTTGTTTTTAGGCTAATTTCTTCTCCCACCCCCCACCTCCAACCCCATCCCACCTTCATTGCTACCTGTTCTGTGTGGTGTGATTGGTTCAATGCTTTCTAGAGTTCCACAGCCATAGATCATTAATTAGTGTTGGAAGAGACCTTTCAGATCTCTAGGACCTCACCTTAATAGTTACTAATACTGCCTTCTCTAAGAGGTGGACGCAGCATTTGAATGTTTCTCTCTTTTATTATTTATTATGCTGGGTGATATACTATATTTGGAGTCAGAAGACTTGTGTTTGAATCTGGGCTCCTATCAGGCAGTATTTGTATGACTTTGGACAAGTCCCTTCATTTCTGTGAACCTCACTTTCCTTCTCTCTCAAAGGAGGGACTTGAACTAGGAGATTTCTGAGGCCTCTGTGTTCTTAAGGCTTATAATCTCATAATTTTTATACATTTGCCATTTGGGAAATGAGACCAAAGAGTATTCTTGACTTATTTTCTTCCTTTCCACAGAACTCTATGAAACTAATATCAATGGGAAGATGGTCGTCTACTGGGAAGTGAAATATCCCTTTCCCATGTACAACAGAGATGTATCCTTTTAAACAGAATTGTCAAACAACCTCATTTGTGAGCAGTTTATGAGTTCTTTTGGAATCATCAGATGCAGTTGTGACTTTGGGGACTTGTCAGGTATAGATGACATTTCTTTCCATCCTTCTTGAAAAGCAGACTCTAAAACCCTGGGAGACAAGAGACTTTTGTTTTTGTCTTTCTACAATCCAGAAAATGGCTTAGTGTATAGAGAGCTGGCTTGGTTTTAAGTGCCCCCTCCCACCCTGGCTGGTGGCATTGGGCAAGTCATTTAAATCTCTCTGTGCCTCCAGACAGTCCCCTGAGACCATAAGTTCCTGAATAGCTGATGATTTGCTTTGGTGGAGAATTTCCTTAACTGGAAGTGTTCTATGGCAATAAAATCATAGGTGGGGAACAAACCAAAAAAAAAAGATCCCTAGTAACTAGCATGGTTCTTTTCACATTTGCTGTTGTTGTTCAGTCATTCAGTTGTGTCTGACTCTTTGTGAACCTGTGGACAATATCATGCCAATATTGTTCACTGGGTTTTCTTGGCAAAGATACTGGAATGGTTTGCCATTTCCTTCTCCAGTGGATTAAGGCAAACAGAGGTTAAGGGACATGCCCAGGGTCACACAGCTAGTAAGTGTCTGAGGTTGGATTTGAACTCAGGTTCTCCTGATTCCAGGCCTAGTGCTCTATCCACTGAGCTACCTAGCTGACCCTCTTTTCACATAGGAGGCATTTAATAAATGTTTGGCATTGTGTATGTTGTATTGAGAATGCCTCTGCTGAAACTGTTGTAAGTCATGTGTCTGGAGACTTCAGCAAGTAACCTGCTACAACCCAGAAGATCTGTAGCCTCAGCCTCAGGGTAATAACTAGGAAGCCTTCTCACGGGATTCATGCCCCTTCCACTCTGCTTGGATCTTTCCTTCGTGTTCCCTCAGCACTTACTCATTCTTCATTTGTTCAACATTTGACAATCATGTATGAAGCTCCTAGGAATGTGCAAAAGATTCTGCTTGTACTTATGGGCATGTCAGAATGGATGTTTCTTGAAGGTAAAGACTATTTCAGTTTTGTCTTTGTATCTTTACCATTTGGAGTGGTACCTTGTCCATAGTAAGTGCTTAAAAAATGGATTGAATTTTGTCCTGAGTGATAAGGATGATGATCAATGAATCAGCAAGCAAGTTTTAAGTACATATTCAATGCCAGGTACTATGCTAGGTACTAGAGATTTTTAAAAAATGAAGCAGTCTGTGCCCTCAAGTAGCTTACAGTCTTTTTTGTGTGGGGGGGGTATATGTGTATATACATACATGTACAGATACATGTGTATATATCAGTATGTAATACATAAAAATAATTACAAGGTATTTTCCCCTATGGTTTGGGGAAGATACTAACAGCTAAAGGGATAAGGAAAGACTTCATTTACAAGGGAGTGCTTGAGCTGAGCTTTAAAGGAATCCACAGGCAAAAGAAAGGAAAGAGCACATCCGAAGCATGAGGGACAACCTGTGCAAACACACAGAGATAGGAGCTAGAAAATCATGAGTGAGGAACAACTAGCCGGCGAGTTTGGCGGAGAGTAGAGGGGAGTCATGTATAGTAAGACTGGGAGGATAGATTGGAGCCAGGCTGTGGCTGCTTTAAATGCCAACTGAATGAGGGCTGCCATTCATTTAAATGTTTCAGTTTATACAGCTTTGCATATGCTATCTCTACTTGACTCTCGCTCGTAGTCTTATTAGGTGGGTATTTTCATTTTATAAATGAAGATACTGAGGCACCAAGGGGTAAAGTGACTTTTCTGAGGACACCTACATAAAAAAAGGGGTTCAGAGCAACATTCAAACCCAGGTCTTCTGATTTCAAATCTAGTGTTCCTCTTTGTCACTGTTTACTATTAATTGTGTGTGTGTCTTGTCCCTAGCATAAACTATAAACTTCTTGAAGGCAGGTATCATCCTCATCATAATTCCATTCAACGGTTGTTGACCACCTACAATGTACAAAGCCCTGTGCCAGGTACTAGAAATAAAAAGACAAAAACTAGAAGGCCCCCTGCCCTACTGGTATTACATAGCACTTGAGAATTTGCAAAGATTTTTACATTGATTTTGTCATTCAGTCATCACACCAACCTTGTGAAGCCGGTTGTCAGCCACCTCTTGGCCCCTCCCCTGAAGTCTAATGGGTAGGGCAGCTCCTCAGTAAAAAAGCTTCATGAATGAATGATTGGACAAAAGAGGGTGCACTGAGATTCTGTGTCAACAGTGGCAAGCTAACCTACAAAAGGCTTTCTCATTCTTGGTGAATAAAAAGGGAATAAAGATAGAAAATCAGGGTTTTTTTTCTATTAATTAACCTTTCTCTGTGTATAGGGCCCAGTCATTAATGGTTGGGGCTTTGGAAAGAAACAGAGGAGGGGGATAAACATTTATTACATACCTAATATGTCCCTGACACTGCCCTGAGTGTTTTACAAATATGACTTCATTTGATCTTCACAAGAACTCTGTTAGGGAGGTGCTATTATGATTACTAGGGCAGCTAGGTGGTGCATTGGGTAGAGTGCTGGTCCTGGAGTCAGGAAGGCTCATCTTCCTAAGTGCAAATCTAGCCTCAGACACTTACTATGTGACCATAGGCAAGACACTTAACCTTGTTTGACTCAGTCTCTTCATCTGTAAAATGAGCTGGAGAAGGAAATGGCAAACCACTCCACTATCTTTGCCAAGAATACCCCAAAGGGGGTCACAAAAAGTCGCATGCCACTCAAACACAACTGAACAACAATTATGATCCCCATTTTATAGTTGGGGAAACCAAGACAGAGGAGTTAAGTGACTTGCCCAGGAGTACACAGCTAGGAAGTGTCTGAGGCCAGATTTGAACTTAGGACTTCCTGACCCCAGGCCTAGTGTTTTATTCACTGTGTTACCCAGATGAGGGAGTCAACAAGCAATTATTAAGTGCTTGTTTTGTTCCAGGTTCTAAATTTACAAAGAAAGACAAAATCATAGTCCCTGCCTTCAAGGAGCTTATATTCTAAGGAGGGAGACAATATGCAAATAGCTATATACATAAGATATATACATTATATTGTATTCTTAGAGGAAAGATACTGACTGGGGTAGGGTTGGGGAGAGTACTGGGAAAGGCTTCTTTTGGAAGCTGGGATTTGAGTTGAGGTTTGAAGGATACCAGGGAAGCTAGGAAGTGAAGATGAGAAGGAGGGAAAACATTCTAATCATGGGAAATAGCTAGTGTAAATGCATGGAGATGGGACATGTAGGATCACATATGGGGAATGGCAAACATGCTGGTATAGTTGGATTGTTCCAAATTTAATAGGTAAGCCTTAGAGTCACCTGAGTCTCAGAAAGGTTGAGACCCATATGGGGCATCAAGTTTAAGAAGCCTGGAAAGGTAGAAAGGAGCCAGGTTGAGGAAGACTTTAAATGTCAGACAGGGGATTTTGTGTTTGATTATGGAGACTACTGGAATCCCCAGGCGTTTATTGAGTGTGCATGGTGGCTGTGGTGTTGACATGTTCAGAGCTATGCTCCAAGAAAATCACTTTGGTAGCTGAGTGAGGGATTGATTATAGGAGAGAGATACTTAGGGCAAGGAGACTGATTGGAACACTATCACGATGGTCTAGGTGAGAGGCAATGTGACTGAACTAGGCTGGTAGCTGTGTGGGTGGACAGAAGGGGATCGATATGAGAAATATTGTAGAGATAAAAATGACAAGATTTGACAACATTTTGGATATGTGGGGTCAAGGTGAGTGAAGAGTATCCGATGACATTGAGGAAGGAGTTCTTCCTAATTCCAGTCCCTACCCACAATTAAAAATATCATCAGTAATAGTTTTTGAGGACCTGTTATGTGCTGGGCAGCTAGGTGGTGTAGTGGTTAGAGCACCCAGCCTGAAGTTAGGAAGACTCAACTTCATGAGTTCAAATCTGTAGATGCTTACTACCTGTGTGGCCCTGGGCATGTCACTTAACCCTGTTTGCCTCAGTTTCCTCATCTGTAAAACAGAAGGAAATGGCAAACCACTTCAGTATCTTTGCCAAGAAAGCCCCAAATGAGGTCATGGAAAGTCAGACATGACTGAAAAATGACTTAACAATGACAAACTCGCTATGTGTAGAGCATTGGACAAGGGCTTAGAAATAAAAAGAAAAAAGAATGAGACACCATCCTTGTCCTGGAATAGCTTATACTCTATTTGGTGAGAAGCTATAAAAGTAAAACAATAATTAATATGAAGAACCATGTCTGGAACATTAAAATGCACTAGCTTTGGAGTCCAAACACCTTGGTTCGGATTTCAGCTCTGTCATCTCCAGTGTGTCCTTGGGCAAAGTATTTCCCCCTCCAGGCCTCTGCTAACTCACGTGAAAAATAAAGTGGTTGGACTAGATTAGCCTTAAAGGTCCCTTCTTGTCTTAAGTCTTTGTGCCAAGCACCAAATGAGGGGTACAGAGAATAATTACAGGCCAGTGACATGATCTCTTGCACTCTTGGGTTTGCTATGTAGAACTTCAGGAGGCCTGAGCCTTGTCTACTGACTTTCTATTCTCATGTACTTGCAAAACTCGAGAGGATGTTTTCTCCTTAACCTGGGACACAGTATGTGTATATTCGGGATCGGAGAGATTTGGATTTAAATGGGCGTACGGTCCACGTGATGTTGGCTAAGAGCATCTCCGTACCTGAAATTCCAGAGAAAGACGGTATCATCCGGGTCAGCGATTACAGGCAAAGCCTTATGATTGAAAGTGATGGCAAGAATGGGTGCAAAGGTAAAAACTCGTGTCTGTCACTTGGCAATAGCTGCCTTGGTCAGTGTTAGAATGAGGCATTTGTTCTCTAGTTATGCCCTTGTGATGAACTGAAAATAGGGCAAAGTTTATGGGACTTTCTGTCAAAAATGTATTTTTTAATTTAACAAAAATCTACCTTCTCTCTCTCCTATCTACTTCCCCATTGAAAAAGAAAGAAAAATAAAACTCTTGTAACACTTCAGTATATTCCAAACACCTTTTTTTTTGTTTGGTCTAAAACTATGATTTCATCAGTGTAGTGAATTCTTTTTAGTGACAAAGATCGACAAGTCATTTATAACCTAGAGTCCTAGAGAGTGGCTTGGAGGTATTGAGAGGTTATATCCATGGACACACATAGCACATTTAGTACTTTTTAAGTGCTTATTAATTGATGTATCTGGGGGAAGGACTTAAATTTAGCTGTTTCTAACTCTGAAGCCAGCCTCCTATACTGTATCATGCCATCTTTCAAATACAAATAGTATATGAAAGAGAACCAATCCATAGGAAACTCAGGAATGTTTCTGAACCCATGGGAATGTTAAATTCTCTTCTTACAAATAGGTGAATATATCAATGAGCTGTGATTTTTCCTTGGTGTGGGCACTTCTCGCAATGCAGATTTCTACCCATTCCTAATTTAGTAGATATGTCTTAGAATTGCCTAAGAGACTCTGAGAGTCTAAATGACTTGATTAAAAAGCCAATAAGCTTCAGAGATCATAGCTAGACTTTATAAAAAAAAACACCCTATGGTTTGCAAAGCACTGCACATATGTTATATCATTTGCAATGGTATTTCAACCCAGTTCTAGCTGACTTTAGGGCTGACACTTTAGCTACTGTAACATATTGCCTTCTGGCTTCAGAAGATTACCATTTTCTGACCCTTGCACTAGATCTGGCCGTTTCTGTTCTTTTGAAAATTTATTTTATTTTATTTTTTTAATGAACTTAATAAATATGAATATTTCAATATACAATAAGAATAAAAAAGATTATAATAAAACTGAACTTGTTACCTACTTGTTTTAAGTACATATTAAAAATAACATACAATAGCAAAATTAATGTTTATAATCCCTTGGGCATTTCTTTGTTTTTAATGGTATATTTTATATGTTTTATTGATGTCCTTCATCCCCCCTTTCACATGTCCCCATATAGTGATGCAAAGTAAATAAATAAACACATTGGACATATCTGAAAGTGTATGTCCTTATTCTGCACCCTAGTCTGCCATCTTCTGCCAAGAGATATTTGACATTTATAAATTTGCATCACATATTATTAGGATATATATACTCAGGGAATTTTATTTTTTTAGGATGAACATTTATGAAATAATCAACCATAAGGAATATTACTTTTATTCATTAGACAAACTAAACTAAAACTTAAACCTAATTTTTAAAAGTTGACATTTAAACCTTGCTTTAAAATTTTGTTGTTGTTGTCCAGTCATTTGCATCATGTCTGATTCTTTGTGACCCCATTTAGGGTTTTCTTGGCAAAGATACTGGAATAGTTTACCATTTCCTTCTCCAGCTCATTTTACAGATAAGGAAACTGAAGCAAACAGGGTTAAGTGACTTTCCAAGGGTCACACAGCTAGTAAGTGTCTGAGGCTGGATTTGAACTCAGGAAGATGAGTCTTGGGGACAGCTGGGTGGTGCAGTGGATAGAGCACTAGAGCTGGAGTCAGGTAGACCTGCTTTAGCCAAACTCCTTCTTTGTACAGAGCAGAAAGCTGAGACTTAAAAAAGTTAAGTGATTTGCCCAGGGTCTCACAAGCAGTAAGTAATATGGTTAGAATTCAGACTCAAGGTCTATTTTTTTTTTTTTGCTGTATCACAGTATTACCAGATTTTAGCTCCAGCTTGGTCTACACTAACGACCCCAGGCTAGGTCTGTTTCCATTTTTGCTGGCATCATTCCTCAGGTCCCCAGAGTGAAGATAAGGCTGTTAAGGGAATGTGAATCAGGATTATGCTAGATTTCCAAAATGTTATTAATTGATTGTAATACTGATTACAAAATGGTCGAATATAGGGATTCTTAACCTTTTCTGTATTGTGGATCCTTTTGGTTGTCTGATGAAGCTTCTAGACCCCTTCTCAGTGTGATGTTTCTAAATGGATAAAATAAAATACATAGATTAGGGAATCAATAATATTGAAAAAAGTTTTGTATATATCTAAATTTATCTATCAGGCAGCTAGGTGGATAGAGCACTGGGCCTGGAGTCAGGAAGACTCATTTTCCAAGTTCAAATCTGGCCTCAGACACTTACTAGCTATGTGACCCTGGGGCAAGTCACTTAACCCTGTTTACCTCAGTTTCCTCATCTGTAAACTGAGCTGGGTACTCTAATATCTTTGCCAAGAAAACCCCAAATGCATTCATAAACAGGACATGACTGAAATAACTGAACAATAACAATATCTTTCTCTCTTTATCTATATTTATATCTCTGTGTATACACACACACACACACACACACACACACACACACACACACCCTACTTATCTTTCTTTGTATGTGTGTACCTTGGCCTTCATATCAGGGAGACTTGGGTTTAAGTCCTGTTCCTTAAAACAAGTTCCTTAGCCTCTTGGTATCGGAGGCACCTCAATGGGACTGTGTTTCAGATTAGTCTTCATCAGCTTTGTTGTCAGGAACTTAGACATAATGAAATCACACTAATGAAATCACAGGTCCAAATCAGATTGAACTAATGACTGTTTATTTGGGGTTTTTTTTGGGGGGGGGCAGAAGGAGGTGATTGAATCTGTGGTTTTATTAGTGGAGGGACCTCCCTTGAGGAATCTCCCTCTACCAGTATAGCTCTGCATTTCTTCATCTGTTTTGAAACCTAAAGTCTTAGAGAGTTACCTGGTAGCATGGAGAGATGAAGTGATTTATCCATGGCCACATGCCAATATGTGTCAGAGGTGGGACTTGAACCCAGTTCTTGCTGACTTTGAGACCATTTATGAAGACTAAATTTGGGGAGAAAAATTATTGGAGAGTAACCTCCATTCATAGATGTTTCCTTCCTTTGCAATATTGGTATCCATTTTGGATAGTCATATCACAGGTTTTTGCTTCTGTGCTTTCCTGTATTTTTCTTGCCTTTCTGAATTGTTCTTTTTACTTCTTTCTCTTTTCCCCCCCTCACCACCCAGTTTCCATGTTCTACCATGATAACCCTGGAGGCATGATTCCATCCTGGCTTATCAACTGGGCGGCAAAGGTGAGCCTCTGAGATGCTGGAGAGAAAATGTGCAACAAATATCGGCAGTCTTTGAAACCTGAGAAAACTGGTCATCTTCAACTCAGGGAGATCTTTCTGTGAAAGTGTCCCTTGTAACTAGGGTCAGAGTACAAGTTGGTGATCACTGTAGTGTATGTATGGGGGTGTGTGTGTGTGTGTGTGCGCATGTGTGTGTTTGTGTTTGTGTTTGCACTAGGGCAGGTCACATACAATTCAATTAAAAAAAATTTATTAAGTGCCTGCTGTGTGCTAGGTAGTATGCTAAGTGCTGGGGATACAAATAAGAAAAAGATAGTCCTGCTGTTGCTGCTTTTGTGAGATCATAATCAGGGCCAGACTCATTTAGGGCATAATTAGGCATGGGTTGGAGGATGGGATGTAACAACACTTTGAATTACAAGATGTAAACAATAACACAATAATAGTAGAAGACTTTAATTCTCTCTCTCTCTCTCTCTCTCTCTCTCTCTCTCTCTCTCTCTTTCACCCTTTCTCTCCCTCTTTTCTTTACCTCACTCTCTCTCAGATTTGTACAAATCTAACAGAAAAAAATAAGCAAAAGGGAAAATTTAGAATTCAAAAAATTTTCTGGAGAAACTAAGGTAAATGGCTCTCAGAAGAATATCTGTTTGTTTGTTTTTTAATACCATTTGCAGCATTTACAAAAAACTGACCATTTATCATAGCACATAAATACTGCAAATAAATGTAAAAAGGCAGAAATAGGAACCACATCCCTTGTAAAAATATTAATTAGTCTAGGGAACACAAACAACACACAAAGATCAACATGGAGACTTAGCAATGAAGCTGCCTCTATCTCTTGTTTGATTAAGAGTACATCACCCACTCATAACTGTGAAAGGCATGCGGTCTGCTTCACTTCTATGTATATTTATGGTATGATCTTTAATATTGAAGTCATATATTCATTTTGAATGGACATATAAGATATACATATATATATATATATATACATACATATATATGTGTGTGTGTGTGTGTGTGTGTGTGTGTGTGTGTGTGTATCCAAAGACCATTCTCCAGTAGAAAAGTGGTCAAGGGATATAAACAATTCTCAAAAGAATTGCAAACTATCAAAACCATATGAAAGAATGATCCAAATCATTAATAATAAAAGAAATGACAATAAGAAAACCTGAGGTTTCACCTCATACCTAGTAACTGTCAAAGATGATGTAAGATGGGCATAATCAATGTTGGATGGGTTGTAGGAAGATAGATACACCAATGCATTGTTGGTGAAGTTGTTAATAGGTAAAACTATTTTGGAGAATAATTTTGCCTTATGGAAAAAAGTGATTAAAATGCTCACATCTTTTCACCTAGATATTCCTTTACTAGGCATATGCCCCGGGAGTTAATAGATTAAAAAGGAAGTCTCCATATACATTGAAATGCTTATGATAGAATTTGTTTTTCAGAATTTGTGATAGTTTTGCCGATTTTTTTCTTTTTTAAAAAAAATTGTTATATGGGATGAGTCTTAAGAATGAGGAAGGAGAATGATATAGTAAGAAAGGCAATGTAACAACAAAATATAACAAAAATTTAAAAATCCTTGATTTTGAAAAAAGACTAACAAAACACATGCATATATGTATATATGTATGCATGTGTAATATATGTGTGTACACACACACACACACACACACACATATACACACCCATACTAACAAAATGAACAAACCTTTAGCTAACCTAATCCAAAAAAGAGAATAAAATCTAAGTAATAAAATAAAAATTAACTTGGTAAAATCACAATGAAAAAAATTTAAAATAATAATGGAACCAATTATATACAATTTTATGCTCACAAAACCAAGAATTTAAAGGAAATGGATTACTGAAAAAAATATAAAATATTCAAATTGACAAAGTCAGAAACTGAGATCTTAAACAGTCTAACTTCAGAAAGTAAAATTAAATAAGTTATAAATAACTACCCAGAAGGTGTGGGGCAGGGGGAGAGTTGAGTACAGTAGAACTATTGAACAGATATTTTAACAAGTAAACTCTATCGTATATTTAAAGAACCATCAATACATATGTTACAAACCTTATTCTCAATAATTGAGAAAGTACAAATAATAAGCAATTGGTGATATCCCCAGCCTTCTTTTTGTGAAACAATTATGGCCCTAATACTGAAACTTGGAAGAGATAAAGCAGAGAGAGTACTATAGATAAGTGGTTCTTAAGCTTTTTGGACTTGGGATTCTTTTACATTCTTACAAATTACTGAGGACCCTAAAAGCCTTTGTTCATGTAGGTCATATTCACTGATATTTAGCATATTAGAAATTAAAGCAACTTTGTATTATTGTGAAAATAGTCACCCTGAAAGGCTCTTGGAAGCCCCCAGGGTCTCTGGACCATACTTTGAGAATCATTGCTTATAGACCAATATTACTAATGAATTTTTTTTTGCAGCAGTGTTTAATAAAATTCTAGCAAGAAGATAACAACATATATCCAGTGTCCTCAAAGAAAAAAAACCCTCACTATAATAAAATTAGACTTAAACCAGGTATGCAAATACTTTTCAACATTAGGAAAACAACTAGCATGATTAGTCCAATTTAAAACAGTAATCATAACAAAAATGACAATCTGGTGGAAATAGCCATACTTTTCAAAATGTACTTCTTTGAAGCAATTGGATGGCTCCTTTGGCCAATGAAGCAGGCTGAACAGTCCCTATAATACTTGACTAATAGACCAGTTTGCCAGAGTTTAGGTTTTATGTTGCTCTCTTCTGAAATTTCACCTATTGAGTCTTAGGACTATAGGGTCATAAATTTAGAGCTGGAAGGGATCTTATAAGCATTCAGCCCATCTCTACCATTTAAAGGTGAGGAAATGGAAGTTCTGGGAGTTTTTGTTTTGTCTGATATCACATAATAGTAAGTAATAGTGCAGTGATTCCAATCCAGGTCTTCTAACTCCAAGTCTATGATCTTTCCATTGTGCTTTTTACCATATTCTGTAGCCATGTTCTATTGAAATCTCCCCAGGACCCTACTGGGAATTTTTGTTTTACGTGGCCTTTCGGTCTCTTTTATAAAAATCAGAAGAATTGTATGGGAAATTAAGCTTGTTGTGGGAGAATGTGAAATTGATGAGTTTAATTTTCTTTTACAGAATGGAGTTCCAAACTTCTTGAGTGATATCCTGAAGGCCTGTAAAAACTACCATAAGAAAATATAGAAGTAGGCAGCTTTCACCTCATTTCCACAAACACCACTGAGTTGTCAGGTCCTGGTGACAGCAAGTCAACCTTGGCTACTTTCCTTCTCTTCCAGAGAACTGAAAGCACTCTCCAGCATGTCTTCCCTATTCATGCTAGTCTTACGCCTGACTTACAATACTGACTTCCTTTCCCACTCTCCCCACCCTAGCAACAATTCCCCTCTCCCACAGTTGAATCTAGGTCAGATCAGGAAAACTCTGCTTGTTTATATTTCAAAAGGAAAGTCCTTACTGGGGAACACAATTGGTCTATTGTGCCCTTTAGAAAGGAAGAAAACAAATCAGAAAAGAAAAAAAAAACAAACCAGTATCCACACCAACCCTGTCTCAGGAGGTAGCTTCTTGCTGAGCACATAAGGGCTGGGGGAAAATTCATTTCATTCAAAATTGGCTTTCCTTGCACTAGAGATTGGCCAGCCTGGACCAGGACACTTGCTGCTCTGTAAATTGCCTTAGGAGAGGATTTGAGATTGTCAATCCACTCTGTCTCATATAGTCTCATTCCCTTGTGGGAAAGTGTGAGATCTTCTGCTGTCAAAGCAATACTCCAGTTCTCCACATTTTATAGATTTCTCTCCCTGTCCCCACCCTTCTACTTTTCCAGCATTCATCTATGGAAACTCTGCCTGGTCTTCCAGAATGTATTTGCTAGTGCTAGTGTCCATAGCTGACACTCCCTAGCTAGGAATCCCATAAATCTATCCCCTACACTGCATTCTGCTGAAGTGTCCTTACAGGTGGTCAGCTCTGAGGATACTTAGAGAGTCTAGGGGATGACCACTTAGCTTACCCTTAGAACCAGTTAGGATCTATGGCCTGGCTGGCTTTAAGTTTTTTATCTCAGGGAACCTGCCAGAGTTGACTGCTCTTCCTCTCACCAGAAAACCTTTTGAACCCTGATTTGACTAACCTCTGCCTCAAAGTTGGTTCCCTTCAGAACCATGCCCGGTTATTGGAGATTGAGGAGGAAAGGTAGCAGCAGCCTTGGTGATTTTCTCAGGGGAAATATCTACCTAGCATATGATAGCACGGAATCCTGATTGTTGCACATAGAAATCCAGGATTGTCTGTGTTCAGAATTACAGTATGCAGACTGCCACAATTCGCAGCTTCTGTGTTTCTTCTGTGTGAAAGGGAATTGATTCTTCGAGGCTTGAATTAAAACAAACAAAGAAACAAACAAAAACATTTGTCTTTTTTCTGAGAGTAACTTATTGCTCTTGCTTTTATCTATGTGGGTCCCTTTACATGAATGAAATCACTCATCCAATAATTTGACCATTAGGGGAGGCTGCAGGACCCAGAAAGGGAGTTGAGTTAATTGCATTCCAAAGACCTAGTTTGAATCAATGATTTAAAAGCCTGGCATCTGTGCACCTTGAGTCAAGTTGATTTTAGCTACAAGGCTCATTACTTACACATCATAATTCCCAGAATTTGATTCCATTCATGAGCAAGTTTCTTATAAACAGAATCAAAAGCAAGTTCAACACTTAACTCAGTATTTGGCACATAGTAGGTACTTAATAAATATTGATTGATTGATTATTCTGATATGGCTGGCTTTTTTTTTTTTTTTTTGCATTTGCATTTGTAAAAAAATGATGTCTCAATGGAAAATGCCATCTAGGTCATTGAGAGATTTCATGTTCCACAGGGCCATGTTCAGTTCTGAAGCACTGGACTTGGTGGTGTCTTTTGAACAG